AACAGTTGTTGGAATTGCGGAACCTATGAAAGTTCCAAATCAACTCTAACAGTTGATCATGATCTGATTGATGCTAATCCAAACATTAGTTATCGTGATCTGCAGAGAGCTCTGCAATTCAATTTTTGCTCTGAAATTGTTACATGCACGAGAATTAATGACAAAACTGCTGAACCATGCTATGGCAATGTAATGGTACGACCTAAAGCTATTGGTGATTTTATATTTATCGAATTGGATATACCCAACCGGAACGATGGAACCGTTGTGGAGTGCCAGTTAGCAGTCATGCCAAAATCGCTGGATTTACTGGATGCTCAATTTAGACTTGCTGGTATGATCTCATCGAGTACAAGCCATCATACCAGCTATTGTTGGCGACCGAATAACAATTGGGAGTTTTGCGATAATCGAGCATCGAGTGTAGCCTTTGCAGGTCAGAGGACGAAAATAAAGGCTAGTGCTGCTATTTATGTGAAAATTCTCCCCAACGATGAACATGAGCCAAAGAAAAATGTAATTCACGCAGAGAATCAATTCCAATCCTCCCCCAGGCTATCAGCAACTCCTCCAAGGATTTCTGTCATATCCTGTACATCTTCTCCTCCAACGATTGATCTTGAATCACCGCATAATTCCGGAAAGCTCAATCAATCATGTTTACTGCCACAATATAAACATTCTGAGGACTTACGAACGACAAAAAGAGACTCTGACACGTTTTCGCGAGACAATTGGCGAAACAAAGGTAGTCCAGACCTCTACTGGGTTGAAGAGACTGATGAATCGACGCTCATCATCAACGATGATGGAGAATCGTTTCTCAACATTCCTTCTAAAACTGAGACAGCTGAGGGATACACCAATCGAATTCTGTCTCCGAGTGGAACTATGCCTGATGCTAATGAAGTGAATGAGAATTCTCTCTGTTTAACCAACACTTCTATTGTTGACTCAATCACTCATATTTTATTGATCGCGGCACTAGATGATCCTCATTATTTACAATCCATTGAAGGATCGCCTGATAAGTTGCTCCGTTTTATTGTCTCTCTGAAAGATCAGTCATTGAATGATGCTATTCATGCAGATAAAACTGATCTCTTCATGTCTTTATTTTCTAGAAAGATCCAATTATCAGAAAATGGCATGTGCATACTGGATCCTCATGATTCAGTCAGTAATCTGTGGGAAGAGGCCTTATTAAATGCTCCTAGCGTTTATAAATTCTTCGAGTGTCAAACGTGTGGTCCTTATGTCGTTCCTGTTTGGACCATAAATATTGATTGTGAACTTATATATAGACAGAATTTCAGTGTCTTACAACAGGCACTTAAATTCTATCCGACATTGAAAAAAGTCCCCTGTATTTTCGAGGGTTGTGAACAATTGTGTTCAATCAAATGCAGTGCCAACTTTCACATATTCATTGATCTAGAAATGAAAATCAGAGGACGTTCTCAGAAGACAGTCCAATGCAAGCTGGGAGAGATACCAAAGACATTACACCTTGACATGGAGTATAGGTAAAAATTTTTCTCCATATTTTTTCATCAATTATCCAAATTCTAGGATGTTAATTTTAATTTTTTGATGATGCAGACTGGCTGGAGTGATTGCTCACGCAGAAGCAGGATTTGTGGCATATTGTTATCGTGTTAATGAATCGACTGCACGGTGGGAATTGTATGGTAGCTGTCCGAAAAAAAATCATCCTGCTGATCCTCATGACGTGGTCGAACCTCATGGAGCTATTTACCTGATTAATTATTCATTCAGTGGGGAATGAGATATTTTAAGTTTGGGTGTTATCGATGCAAACGGATGTATTATGTGCCTGCAATCGTTAAATAATAAACAATATATCAAGATATTTTCAAAAAAAAAAAAATTTAGGAAAAGTTTCGTGTTCCATACACAAATTTCATCTTTTATTTGCACTTTTTACAATAAATTTATCTTAAAATTTGAACTGAGATGAAATAAAAAAATGCATTCTTATTGGAAATGAAATTCTCAAAAAATATTTATTTTCAGGCCTAGCCGTGGAAAACAAATCATTCTTCTCCACATGTAAGATTGATATCCGAGCCGCGAAGGCAAGGATGACAAGCATGTAGAGGAGGTTGGGGAAGTCAACATGTCTGGTTCTGGAGAACTCGCATATTATCAAGATTAAGCGATTCGGGCCTGAAAAAAGAAAAAGAAGATTCGGTCATTGTGGTTTATTTCTCGATGAGGTGAGGCACAAGTCTCCATCACCTCGAAAAAATGCCTTACTTGCGTTGAATCAATGTTCATTGAGCTCATCCCTTTCTGTTGATTTTTTTTATTTCTATTTTGTTGTTTCATTGTTAATTCTAATTGAACTCCCAGCGATCTCTAGTTCAGGATGTAGTCTTCCAATCTAGAAAGTACAAATAACTATTTCAATATCATTATTCATTACTCATGATTGATTTACCCATTATCAAAAAGTTACTCATGAATTTATAATCTTTTAATGGTTATTATTATGAAAAGATGATGAGTCAATTGATCGACATTATCTTCTTTCGCAAATAATAAAACGTTCAGGATCCATGAGAACTCGATATTCAATCTTATTGAAGATACCTTCAACAGATAAAAGTATCCAGAAAGAAAATCTCCATCTTCTATTATTCTGTGCGGAATTAAAATAGTTCTTTACGTAGACTAATGGTCACCTAAGGTAAAAAAAAGAAATACTCACGGAGTAAAATGAT